TAATGACTAACACCTTTTAATTAGCAAATGAAAATTGATAATGATAATGAGTTCTCTAATTTTAGCTCTCAATTTCCTGTTTCCTAGGAGTCACGTGTCTGGAATCCAGTGCCTGGCTGGCACACACTCAGCCTTTACATTTTCATCTGACCAACGTAAGTGAGTAGCTACTGAGTGGAAAAGGACCTGATCCTTTGTCCCTTCCTAGAAGGGCGTGAGGTCTTGGGGTCACAGGTCAACACCACACTGGCACATACATGGCTTTGGAGGACAGGCTGGAAGAGTCTGAAAAGTGGTGACTGTGGAATTACAATCCTACACAAGGTCCTATTGTGCTCTTTCACAAATTGGGTCGAAGGCTTCTTATAAAATACCGAATCCCCTGGAAAAAAAAAAAAAAAAAACACAGCCCACTGCAAGACACACCTCCTTAAAGGGCCAATCTCAAAAATGCAAAGGACAAAACAGGACTAAAACCAGGACCAGAGGCCAGGGGAGAAACTCACACACTCCACTGTTAACAAACGTACTGCGTGCTTTGAAAAGGTTTTATTAAGCAGTTGTTTGGTTACTATATCCGGGGGAAAGGAATGCAAGTTCTGTGAGACAGGTACATGAGAATACGGCGAAGTCTTAGTTAAAATGTACAAAACCCATCAAAGAAAGAAGCCAAAATACTCCCGATGACTATGGTGACGCAGATGGACCAATCAGTACTGCCAAGCTACATCATATATTACAGGTTGTTGCTACAGTGTTTAGAGACATTCACACAAACGAATGTTTTCCAGTACATTAAATCCACAATGCTAAATGTGAGGAACATAAACATTTTTATGGTTCAAGCTATATTTGGGTTTGAATTATTAAACCACGGAAAAGTTTCAAGCTGCTTTTCCTCAATGCTCTTTCTCTCTGTGTCTAGGGGAGAAGATGAGCCCAGAGAGGGTAATTGTGAATACTTTCACAAAACCAATTGGCCATCTTCATGAGACATATTTTCTGAAAGTAGAGGGGTGTTTTCTTTTTCTTTTTGGCCAGTTTTGAGAGTAGCTGGCAGTCTTTTGAGCAAAGATATGTACAATAAAGGCATGAAGTATTAATGGAAATTCCAGGAAGTGGCCAAATAGTAGCAGGGACATAAACACACAGCATTGGAGAAACAAGATGACAATGTTGTCAGCCTAAAAAGCTAACCTCCAGTACCCAGAACATGTCTGAGTTCAGAAGGAAAACCACAAAGATAAGCCCCACCAGAACCCTCCTCCTCAACTCTGTCACCTTTATATTATTGCAAGGAATTGGATGATTGGATCTGAGGAAAATGAATTAGGAAGTGGCAAGGGCTTTGCTGATCCTCAGATGCCTTCCCCATTATTGGGGGTCTGTGTCACTACTGTGTAGCTTTCTGTTGGATTTTGAATAGCAGTTTATTTCCTGCTAAAAATAATAAATAAATAAATAATATGTTACCAATTCACAGAACTACCGCTGATTATCTGTGCAACTTACAATTGTGCACGCCAGCTAATGTCACAGTTTAAATTGCAAAGATGTCACTGGTGACTCATCAGCTAACAAACCCTGTTAGACATGGTGTGTCTTCAAAGACATCATCTCCTTCTTTTAATGCTGTGATTTACACTACAGACAGCATTCCTGAAAAGAGAATGACTCTGTTAGCTTACACATTATGACAAGAACATTTTGTATATGTAACTATTATGCAGTATTTTAAAGAGGTACATACTATTCTTTAAAAGACAAAAGTGTAGGCACCGATCTTGCACAAAATCTCACAGTTTTTCTTTTTTTAATATTAAATTCAAGTATATGGAGCAATGAAAAAGACAAAATGAGCTAAAACTGTTTATGTTGAACCCAAAATTGTAATCATCTTAGGTAGTTAACAAAACCATTTGTGTGGAAAGAAAAAAAAAAAAAAACTAGACTCTTAAGTCCAATCTCATCTCAGCCACCTTCCCTGCAGCTCAAAGTTTGCTATAAAGGTATTTTTCTAGGCATAGGAAGTACTGGGAGTGTTTCTAAATTTCCTTACCACAAAATTTTAACATTAATGTTCATTGGTTTGTTTGTTGAGATTGGATCTCCCTCTGCATCCCAGTCTGGGGAGGAACTCGCCAGATAATTCAGGCAGTTCTTGAACTTGTAATCTTCCTGCCTCAGCTTCTCAAGTGCTGGGGACACAAGTATGCTCTACCACACCCAGCTAGAATTTCCAATTTAAAATGATTGATGGGCATGAATGTTAAAGTGATTATTCAAAATGCTCCTGTTCATAAAACAGTTACTTTCTGTTTTGGAGATAATGATATTGACTTTGAGGCTGCCTAAACTGTGACAGAAACCTGACTGTTGGGTTCCAGGGTAATGGAAACAAAGACTAAAGGAGAAGCTGGTTTCTTTCTGTTGTGAATGCCCTCAGTGTGATTCCCACTCACAGACATATTAGCTCTCTCTACAAATAGTGCCGTGATGGCCCATACAAACATATCTGCAGCCAAGAATACAATACACCTGTGGGTTGAAAGGCCCACTGCAGCCCTGGGGTGGGGAACATTTGATATAGTGCACACTAGAAATGTGTTCTTCTTCATAATTCAAACATCTTTATCCATCACCCACAGGAACAAAACACAGATGATTGTGAGATCACTAAGAATAAATAAAAACCTTTGCATTGCTACTTTCTCAGAGCTCTGAACCTAGCAGGCACATACAAAATGTTGATAAAAGGAAGGATTTCCCAAAAAATTTTCATCAGCATTATGTTCATTTACCTTGAGTTTTAAACAATACAGGGAATGTAACAGCATAAAAAAACCCGTGAGCAATCAAAGAAAGCAATGATTGGAGAGGACAAATTAGAGATGCCTTTCTTTAAACATGTCCTTTCACTTTCCAGGTTAATCAGGGGAAAGCAAGGTGGTCTTTTTCTGTAATCTAGTCTCAGGATGTGAATTCAGGACTCCTGGCATGGAGTACAAAAGGTGGGACAGGTGAAGAGATTAAGCAACTCAGTAGAAGCTTGTTTCTCTCCAAAACAGTGATAAGCATTATATGTTTAAAACCTGTTTCCTCTCAGGTGTGGTGTATTAATAGACAAAACTCTAAAGCCTCAGAGAGCTGAACTACCTCTGTTTAATTTTCTGAACACCACTTAGGAGTTGGATGCTGACGGCTGAATAACTGCCTCCTGGAACTGAGTGCATCGCTGTGCTTGCTCATGCACTCCTAAGAAGTGACTGAACAGGCAACCTGTTGACCCTAAACTCATGTTTAGAGTGAGTTTCATGTCCAAATGGACTTCAAAGGTATTTCTTTAGAAGGAATCCTAATTAAGATTGGCCTTTGATGTTTCCAAAGCAAAAAGGCAATCCATCGATTCAGCATAATAATCTTTCCTTTTAAGTGGATACAAAATAAGCACGGCATTAGCGTCTTTTAACGGCGTAAACAGTCCTTTCATTGGGAGCTGTTCCCTTGACAGAAGTGCACAGAACGGAAGCAATCATTTTGGAATGATAGATTTAGATCTTCCTGTTGAGTGGAGAGAGAGTAGTGTCTTTATAAATGAAATTTCACTTTCATAGCCCAAATCACAATATTCATTGAAGGATTATTCATAACTATTACTAAGAATGAGACTAGAGCTCCATTGACCATGTCCATCAGCTGCGCAGTGGGAGGAGAATAGCAATACTGCCTTGGAAATGGGACAAGTTGGAATAAATGATTGCAATTTTTTAAAAATTTTGAATAGCAATAGGCTGAAATGTTCAAGAAACTCTGAACCTACCTTAACCATTTGAAGCTTTCAAATATTCTTTAGGTTACTATAAGCTGGCCAGAATAAATAACAATTGCTTTAGTCACAAATTAAAGGCTTATATTTAGTTTATGTATTAAGTCAAAAAAGGCAGTCTGTGATTCGCTATGGTTTTCGTATTTCACTTCCTGAATTGATTATGCAACCAAACTTAATTTTAAAATGTATGACTTAATTTTAAGATGTATTTCACTCTCTTCCTAGCATGAAGATAGAGAATTTAGGTGTGACCTTAGGATTTATTACTCTAAAATTCTGTTATACTAATATACTATTTAAAAGCATTTGAAAGAAATAGTTACCTATTTTTAAAACATTTTATAAGAGATTGATAAATATTTGGCATGCACTCTGGATTATCTGCTTGGTACCATAATCACTAGCCATGTTTGTCTGTTGAACACCTGAAATGTACCTAGTACAACTAAAGAACTGAATTCCTTATTTCAAGTAAGCAATTCAATTAAGCAATTTAATTCTGAATTTAAAAAAAAAAAAGCTTTGTAATGTAGGTTACTCAAAAGTTTTGAGGGTACTCATGAAACTTAAGCGGTTGAGCCTACTTTTCCATGCTCACATTAAATGAATCAAACATTATGAGTGAAACTAATTGTCCAGCCTCAAGTGGGCTGTGTAAGAAACAGACTAGATTTCAGAATTGCTATGGGGGGGGAGGAGGCGATGGAGATTTCTCATCAATCGTTTCATATTGATTACATACGTGCCTTGTGTTGTGGTGCTTTGGGAGGCATGTGGTGGAGCTTTGTGGAGATTGCCAGCTTTGAAGGGCCGTGTCTGCAGTTGTTGTTTGTAATGTCATTTCGTTTTTATTATGATGAGAAAAGCGAATGGGGTTTGGTGTTACCCACCCAGAAGGAAAGCCAGTGCCCACTCTGCCCCCTCCTTCCTCTGAGCAGCAAGGCTGCCAGTAGCTCTAAACACCAAATCATAGACACAAACTTGCAAGGCGCCCTGGTGAGTGCAGTCAAGTCAAACTGCACAGACCCTGCCCATCTGGCTTTACTCCCCACCCCCGACCGTTTCGACCTTCATTTGTCTTCAATCCCCAAACTGACTTTCTACTTCCTCCCAAGTTCTGCTTGGCTCTGGCTTCCGGCGTGGAGCAGTAAGCGATGAGTGCGTGCTGCCCAGGTGTTGTCATGTGTTGGTGCTCGACTTGGTCCAGGCCCGAGAACTTTCGTCCTTCAGAGTGGAGAGCTTTCTCTGGGAGAAGGATTCAAACCCCAGAAGCTTGAACACCGCCACCCGGTACTTCTTGGACATGATGTTGTACAAGATGGGGTTGATGGCGGCGCTGAGGTAGAAGAGGACGAATGACACCAGGTTGCAGTATTGGCTGATCTGCGCGATCTCCAGAGAGCCCGGCTCGAAGGACTTGGAAAACAAATATCTCCCCACATGGAAGGGCAGCCAGCAGAGGATGAACGCAAACACCACTACAGCTGAAGGACAAGGGGAAGAGAGAGAGGGTCATTGCGAGGCATGGCGCAAATCACTGTGCACTCTTGAGTCTTGGCGCTGCTTCCTCCACGAGTGGCATGCCCGCTGACGGGGCAGTGTGTCCTGCTCTTTGTTGTGGGTAACATGGTATCCTGCTGTCCACATGATACTGCTCTGCTCCCCCCAACCCCCTTACCCCCCCACTCCCACCCCCCATCTATTCTGACACGCTAACACACAGTGAGACTGTCAGACCGACAGCTGGGTAATCTTCACTGATCTTCTCAGTCCGTCTACTTGATAAGGTCTCTGCTTTGTGACTGACCTGACACAATGACTCAACTAAACGATTTATTAATGATTATCCTCCATTTATATGCATTACACAGAGCACAGATACAAATGAGGGAAGGTGTTTGTATTCAGCCACAGCAGTTGATTAGAATTCCCAGGAGCGCTTCTCCTCCGCCATGCTGGGATCGAAAATGCCCAGTAAATACCTTACCACTAAGCCAATACTCTACCCCAGCATGCTCTTGGGCATGCTTAAGAAATTAGTTGCTTATAGACTCATTAAATTAAGTTCTCTAGGTAAGGGAAGTGGGAAAGGCACCTGCCTTTTCTTTTCCTGTCATCCTTTTTCTTTTTTCTTTTTTAAGGACAGATCTTTGTTATGTTTCGTGGACCACTGTACCCAGAATTTTAAAGTTAATTTTTACAGGGGACTGAATATGCAATTGGACTTAGTAACCACTCAGAAAAAATTCTGTCATCTTTAATAAAAATAAAGTGTAAGGGACAATTGTTAAGTCAGCCGGCAGCAATTGCCACACATCCAAGGCTTCATTTTACACGTGTAAGATACTTTCTTCAAGAATTTAAAACATTTAAACTAAGTTTTTAAAATTCAGAAATGAAAGAAAAATGATGCTCTGGTCCTTGTGCCACTTTAATGATCTCCTTCAGTTTCTCATGGCAGAAGAGCATGGACATTGGTGTGGAGATGCCAGTGAGGTAATTAATAACTTACAATGCTGGGGAGAGTAAGTTCTCTTTAGGACTAGGTTGCATAGGAAGAAATGTCACCTGGCAGCAACAATGTGGTCCTCTCTCTGGTGAGTACGAGTTCACAGCCCCATGGAGGACACAGGGCAATCACTGGTCTGGGAAACACAATTTGACATCCCTAGGGAAATCTTTATCATTTGGATATGCAGGATCTGAGAATAATAAAATTGCAAACAGGAAATCATCCTGCAATAACTAAGAAGTATTAAGTGTCTATAAGCATTGAAAAAAGTGAGATCAGCTGTTTCTCTTGGCTATGAGCATTATCTTCATTTCCTCACTACACCAGACACGTGCCTTTAAGGAAACAGAGTTCCTGCACTAACCATTCAGTACACCCAGTGGTTAGCCTGTACCCAGAGGTTCCTGCGGTAGAACTTGAGGAAAGAATGGCTTCTCTACACTACCCTGGCCTATGCTACTGGGGAGGCAGATACAAAATCAACAAAGCCCCAGAATAAACAGAGTTGAAGTGATTATCTGAGAAAGATGCAGGGCAGAAAACAAAGCCCAATATTGAAAACAAACAAAATGCATCTATAGATCGTCTTTAACAGAGCGATCCAAATTTATGGTTAAATTTACAATGGAGTAATTTCTAAGTGCAATTCCTGCCTGCTTGCTTTAATGTTATTTTGATAATCACAAATTCAATATGGGGCAGGGACCTCAAAAACAAACAAACAACAACAAAACAACAACAAAAAAACGTGATAAGGTATTTCCATCTTGAAGCAAGTTACCCCGAGTAATATTAATTTTAAGCAACTGAAAGTGTGAGAAGCCTTTTCGTGGATAAGAGAAGATACAGGAATAGACAGAGGAAGAAAGGGGAAAGCGGTGAGACCAAGAACATAGGTGGGGAAAAAAGAAAGAACCTAGGTGGGAGGGCAGAGAGAGAGAGACAAAGAGAGACTTGAGAGACATGGGGAGATAGAGACGACGAGAAACAGAGATAGAGGCCCCCCGGGGGAGGAAGAAAGGACTCACCGAGCATCTTCACTGTCTGCTTGTGGTTCTGGTCCCTGAGCGAGGCGCCCACCGCCGCGTCGCCGCGCCTCCGCCACAGCTTCCTCCCGATGAGGCTGTAGAGCACAGTGAGGCAGAAGACCGGCAGGAAGAAGAAGACGCTGGACACCCACACCATGACAGTGAGCAGCCCAGAGCGCACGGCGAACTCGGTGGCGCGGCACTCGTTGGTGTCCCGGGGGTCCGTGCCGTTCTCGTGCTCCACGCCCACCAGCACGAAGATGGGCCCCGCGCTGCAGAAGGCCACGGCCCAGATGACAAGGATGACCAGCTTCACGCGGCCCTTGGTGACCACCACCTTGGCCCTCAGCGGGAAGCAGATGGCGAAGTAGCGCTCGACGCTCAGCGCCGTGATGGTGAGGACCGTGGCGTAGGTGCAGCTCTCGCTGACGAACTGGAAGAGTTTGCAGAGCAGGTCGCCGAAGTTCCAGGGCCGGTACTGCCAGAGGCGGACGAGGTCCAGCGGCATGCACAAGAAGATGAGCAGGTCGGAGAAGGCCATGCTGGACAGGTAGAGGTTGGTGGTGGTGCGCAGCTCCCGGAAGCGGGACACCACCAGCATGGTGAGCAGGTTGCCCGAGATGCCCACCACGAAGAGGGCCACGCAGGTCGCGGTGACGCCCGCCAGCAGCGGCGCGGGGAACAGCGGCAGCAGCAGCTCGTCTGTCAGAGAGTCGTTGCCGGGGAAAGCGTCCCACTCCAGGTCCTGCGTGACGTTAGGCTCCGGTTCCTCGCTGGCCGTCGCGTTCCACATGTTGCCAGGCTTGGGGTCGCCGCCGGAGAGAGGAGATCTGGTCCTCCAGGAGGTCCCCTGGGGCATGGGAGAGTGGAGGGAATGGGCGCCAGCGGCGTGCAGGAAGGATGCTTGGAGAGGAAGGAGAGAAGTGAGAACCGAGGGAGAAAGTGGGATGGGGTGGGGACAGTGGCGGTGAAATGGAAGAAAGTGACCCACGGCGCGGCTCGTCCCTCCCCAGTCCCTTCCCTTTCTCCCCTCTCCCCCTTCGCCCCCCATCTCTCCTTGCCTCTCTTTCCCACTCTCTTCCTCGCAGTCCCTGCCACCCAGTCCGGCCACGGACCGCGCACGCACTCGCTTACCTGTCACCCTAACGCCGGAGCAGCGCCACCAGCACCGCCTGGCCCTGGAGAGCTCGCCCCGGCAGCATGTCGCCCTCCCCACCGCGTCCGAGTGCGTGGGCTCTGCACAAGGCAGGCGCTGCAAAGCCAGGGAGTGAGGACTCCTCTCTCCAGCCTTGGACGCTAGGGGGGCCGGGAAGGACAGTTCATCGGGGTAGAGTGATGAAGGGTGGAGAGCGCAGAGAAGGACGCCTTCGGCAGCCGGATCAAGCTCTTCTCCCACGAGGAGTCGAAGCGGTTACGCACCTGATGGGAAGAAAAAGCGAGTGTGCCTCTCGGAGGAGGAAGGCGGGTAGAGGGAAAAAGCAGAAGCTTCTATTTGTATTCAAATTAGGGGAGACGGAGCGCGCCCGGGAAGGGCTTCTCACGGTCTCAGAATACTACACCATCGTGTTTGCCGGGATTTTCAACCCAGAAGCCTGTTCCCTAGACGAAGGTCACAGAGCAAGTTCACTGGTTCACTCCACAAGTGTGCGAAAGCCCTGTCCTAAATCCCCGCCCTCTGCTTGGTGTGGGTAAAGGATGCTGGATGAACTAAGAGTCACCTTTACCTCATGTAAATTTGGGGCGGGGAGGGAAGGCCACGAAGCCCTCTCCCACCCCCACCCCGCGCGTACCGGGGAAAGTAGGTGGCAAGTGCAGGAGCAGAGGCAGTCTGTGCCGCGAGGCTGACGCACGTCGAGGGTGAGCGGGAAACTTAGGCTTTTTAAAAGCTTGATTTGGAGAGATCAGCTATTCAGAATCTGGGATTCCACCCCCCCACCCCCCCACCCCCCGTCAGCAAGAGTTCCAAACTTCGGAACTTCAGTTTGCGGCTGCTTCTTTGCAAAATGCTAGGCAGCATGAAGATCACTGGGGATGGAAGCCAGGCTTCAGAAATACAGGAACCATTTGATAAATTAATAAGGGTTGATTTGCTTCGCGGTTGCTGGTGAAATGGGGGAGTTTTATCCAGTGGCATTGTGTCTCAGGGCATCCCGGTACTAGCAAGGGTCTTCTGAGAACTGCCTGTGCGTTTGCAATCCAGAACGGCGAGTCCACACCGGGAAAACTGAGAAGACCCTTTGATAACTTACAAGCCCCTCGATTCAGCACCTCGGCCAGCGCCCGGGCCCTTTAAGCAAGCAGCTAAAAGCTCTACACTGCCTTGAAGCCCGTTCCTACAGCTGAGTCTTGCTTCCTCGGTGAAGAGGGAGGGAGACCACCACCAAAATACAGATCAACTATGAAGCCCCTGATTCGCCGCGCTCCTCTACACCTGGCTAAAACAATCCATCAACTACAATTGAGGTTTTTTGCATACTGGAGTGCAGTGTTGCATGACTTGGCTAGATGGCTTACTGCCTTCTCTATCACCTAAACTGCTATTGCACAAGTCTATAAGATAGGAGACTGGGTGCCTGCGCATGTACATACGAGAGTCACAATGAAAGAGAGACTGTGTGAGAGGTTTGACTCACAGTTTGCCTGTGAATGCACCACACGGTGGCTTAGTTGCACAGACTTTGGACCAAATGACTTTGAGTTTATATAAAATATCAACAAATCCAGAGCCAACAAGGTAGCTCAGCAGGTAAAAGAGCTAGCCTCCAAATACGATGACCAGAGTGCTAGCCCCAGAGCCAGCATGTACATGTGAGTGACCTCCAGAAGACACACAGCACATAAACAAACAAATAAATAAATGTGAATAGATAAGATAGAAATAAATCTGTGTTGTGTTGTCAAGAAACAGTAGAGGGTTTTATTGAAACTGAACCAATTCTTCATGATGCGTAACCTACATAAAACTGTCTCTATCAAACACTGTTAATAACAAAATAGATATAACCCATGCATAAACCTCTAATCATAAACCTCTGATCTACAGATGAAAACACAGTTAGGCAAACTATCCTAGCACAGTATTGGCAGGTGTGTTTAAGAAGCAGTTACAATGATCCTCTAGTAAAGAGAATTGTGTTACACTGAGAAAAGACTTCTCGGAGGTCCGGGCATCTGAATTGGATGTTGAAGGGGCTGAGTTCTTTCAGAAAAGCAAAAATTGCTCAACTGTTTAGAAAAAAAAAATTGCACAAAGCATGCTGGACCTAAAAGAGTACCCCATAAGGTGTTGTGCTGGGTGGGGAGTGGAGTAATGTTATGGGCCATGGATCCCTTGGTCAATTAAATGTGAGAAATCACAGCTCTTTTTCTTTTGACAAGAAAGCTGTGCCAGTGGGTTCTCCTTTATACTGGTCCACAGTCTTTCTTTCATTGCTCAGATATTGGGAACTCTGTTGTACTGTGCAGCACCAGAAGCTGGGAGCTCACATGTGCATTTGTTACTCTACATGGGAAGTACACTCTCCGGTGCGTGTGAAGGAGAAGGGAGTGGTGGGGGAGAGGAATTTATTTGAGCAGGAGAACGCATTTCCATTGTCCCTTGAGCCTTATAGAGTAGCACTTTCTGCTGAGATGCATATAAATACGTATGTGCATATACGGGTATTTCATGTTCTATCCAGGAATGTAAAACCCTAAATGTAATCACAAGGAATCAAACTTCAAATAAGAAATAACGGATTTAACAATTCCTTAAAAACTGCTATAAAAGACAAGGGAAAACTAAAGCCCAGCATTTCATAAGTGGTAGACACAAAGCAAACATGCATAATTGAAGGTGTTCGCTCTTGGCCATGGCTGTGAATCAGAAAACACTCAGGCTCCAAAGAGGCACAGTGACTAAACACTGCTCCTTGCTTGCCACAGAATCACAACTACCTGACACAAAATTCTTGTGCCAACCGACACACTTAGATATAAATAGTACAATGAGTGGAATTATTAGATTAACATCAAGTTTCTGAGCTTGCTAACACTCTGGAAAAGAATTGTTTGATGCTTAGAAGTACACGCTCAACTGTAACATATGCAACTTACTCTCACTTGTTTAAGAAAATTTTTGTTTTGCATAAGTGTGTGTGTGTGTGTGTGTGTGTGTGTGTGTCCACATTTGTGGATAGATAAAAACAAATGATAAGACATAGAGCTGAAAACGTTGGTGGCAATTGAATCTTGTGCTGCGGAAATGGCTCAGTGAGTAAGAGTGATTGCTCAGCAATTATGCAGATGTGAATTTAAACCGTCGGCATCAAAGTAGCTAGGCACTGCTGCATGTCTCTGTGACCCACCCCAGCTTTGCGGGCTGGGGGGTGGGGATGAGGCATAGAGGTGGAAATACACTTATCTTAAGAGCCCACTAACCAACAAATCTAGCACAAAAGGCAAGCTTGTAATCCAGTGAGAGTCCTTGTCTCAAGGCAATAAGGCAGACATTCTGCTCTGGCCTAGACATGCTTATTTGGGAGCATGTGAATATACCACACAAACATACAACACACAGACACACACACACAGAGATACACACATAAGATTAATTTTTTAAACAGCAGATTAATTTTACTTGAATTTTCTTACAGCTTTTCTCTAGGTTTGAAATCATATTCAGACAGGAAATTTGAAAGCTATGTTTATGTAGACACTTCCAATTCAATTTGCAATTATACACTTCTTTGACATATTTACATCATTCAACAGCTTGGCATCTAACATAAAAATTGTTTAACTTATTTTTTTAAGCCTGTTCACATTTTTTTTACGTGCTGACCACAGTTTCTCCTCCTTCCTCTCCTCTCAGTCCCTCCCCCTACCTCCCTATTGCCCCCTTTCCATCCACACCTTCTTTTCTTTTCAGAGAAGAACAGGCCTCCCATGGATATCAATCCAACATGACATCATGTTGCAGTAAGACTAGGCACCTCCTCTCATATTAAGGCTGGAGCTGGGTGAGGTGGCTCAATAGGAGAAAAGGGGTCCTAAGACCAAGCAAAAGAATCAGAGACAGGCCCCACTGCTACTGTTAGGAATCCCACAAGAAGACCAAACCACACAGCTATAACGTGTGTGTTGAGGGCCTAGGTCAGTTCCACGCAGGCTCTCTGGTTATCGGTCCAGTCTCTGTGAGCCCCTGTGAGTTTTTTATGGTCTTCTTGAGCTCTCTGGCTCCTGCAATCCTTCCTCCCCCTTCTTCTGCAGGATTCCTCAAGCTCCACCTAATGTTTGGCTGTGGATCTCTGCATCTGTTTCTTCTTGGATGAAGCCTCTCTGATAACAATGGGCTAGGCACTGATCTAAGAGTATATCTAAGAGTATATCAGAATATCATTAGGCATCATTTCATTGGCTTTTTTTTTTTTTTTTTTTTTTTTTCCAGTCTTTTTTTTTTTTTTTTTTTTTTTTTTTTTTTTTTTTGCCAGTCATGTTTGGTTCTCTCCCAAGTCTCCTTGGTTCTGTGGGCGATTCAGTTTCTATGTCCCCATCCTCCAGACAGTGTCAGGGCTGGGCTCCCTCTCATGGCATGAGTCTCAAGCTGGATTAGTCATTGGTTGGCCATTCCCACAATTTTTGTGCCACCTTTGCCCCAGCACACCTTGTAGGTGGGACAAATTGTAAGTTGGAGGTTTTGTGGCTGGGTTGGTGTCCCAGTCTCTCTGCTGGAAGTCTTGCTTGCTTACAGGGGATGGCAGTTTCAGGTTCCATATCCCCCATTTCTAGGAGTCTTAGCTAGGGTCACCCTCA